CGCTGTGCATGCTCGGCGTCGCGCTGTACCTCGCCCACCGCGTGATGCGCATCGAGAAGCGCCTCGCGCACCTCACGCGTGAGACGCAGCTGGTGCGCGGCGAGGTGGACGAGGAGCATGTGTACCCGCCCGGGACCGAGGCGGCCGCGCGCGCACTCGCGTCTTCGGATGTGCAGGGGTACAGCGCCCTCAGCTGAGAGGCCGTGCGACGACGCCAACCGAAGGAGCAACAGTGACACACAGAGAGACACGGGAATTAAGGAAGAATTGGGGAAGCGCTGCGGTGGCCTCGGCTCTGGCTGTTTTTTTATTATTATTTGCGGTGGCCACTGCTGCTCTTGCTGCTGCCGTTGCTGCTCTTTCTCTGGTGTACATATTACACATGCCCATCAACTGGCGCAGGTCTGTGGCTGAGACTTGCGTTAATGTCGCACTGTCTGCCTCCTGGTGTTGCCTCTCCTTCGTTTGCTGTCAGTGTGATCCCCTTCTTTCTCCTTTTGCGAAAGGGGCACCGCACGCCAAAGCCGACAAACCGCCCCCACTCATTTCTGTCCGTGGAGTGGCGTGCATGCGTGGGGGCGTTGCACGCAGGATACGGATTGGTCGTTGTTCCTTGTAGTTGTTGTTTTTTTTCTTTCCGGCACCGGCATGCTGCGGCGCACGCTGCAGTGCCTCCTGGAGAAGGAAAGGGCCACCACCGTGAGGCGCGCCGTCATGGCGAAGGCCCGCCCAAACAGCAGCCACCACAATAGCGGCAGCGGCAGCACCGACGAGAACAACGCCAGCAACGCCAAGGTGGACGAGAATATCGTCCGTCACATTGGCTTCGCAGCTGACACGCAGCATAGTAGCGTCATAGACATAGAAACGGACACGGCTGCACCACCGCAGCCACCGCAGCCGTCGTCGATGGAGCCGCCCCGCAGCGACGCCTCTGAGGACGCCTATCGCTTTCTGCTTCACCACATCGATTCCGAGATTGCGGCGCTGAAGCGGCGCGTCATGACGGTGGGGCGGCAGCGCACGGACATCGAGAGCAGTCAGACCCGCCGCATCCGCGAGCTGTTCGAGTGTATCGAGCGTCCGTGGCTGCTGCTGGAGTCGATCCCCGCGCCGCAGCTGCCCAACAAGGCGCTCGAGGTGTACGCGAAGGAGCAGGCCACGAAGCAGCGCGGCAACAGGGGCGTGGACGTCGAGCACGACGCCGTCTTCCTCGACGCGTGCCGGCGCAACTGGCGGGGAATGCCAATTGCGCACCGCAAGCTGTACGAGGTCGCCGCGCGCCGCAACGAGCACCTGCGAAAGGAGCTCAAGAAGAAAATGGCCAACGGCTGCTCCTTCTTTGAGGACTTCTGCGAGCAGGTGAAGGAGTGGACGGCGGAGACGGCGCGTGACGAAATGAGGCAGGCGACGCTTCGCAAACGCGGGCCGCCGGCGCGGTCGAAGACGGCAGCGACGGCAAAAGAAAAGAAGTCGCCAAGCGCCGCCGCTGCCGCCGCCAGACTCGCAGGGGAAGGGACCGCAGAAGAGGAGGTGCAGGCGCCAACGTTGCGCGATGCCCGTGCTCCGCGGAAAGGGCCGGTGCAAAGGAAGCCGGCGGCGAAGACGAGGGGAAGCGCGCCCGATTCGCCCGCGCAGCAGCGGAAGTCGAAAACGTTAAAGGTTCATAGAGCGAAAAAGCCGGAAGCCCGCCGTAAGACCTCGGCGAAACACAAGAAGAAGTGAGGGGTGGCGAAATATTTTGATGCCCAGAGGCCTGCAGGCTGCCGGTGCCCCAGAGCCTCCATAGAAGTCTGTGTATCTTGGCGCCATAACAATTCTGCATTCTCCCATTCTTGCTGCTGCTGCTTCGGCTGTTGTTGTTATTCTCGCGGCGTACGCCATCTGTGTTCCCTCTTTCTGCGCTCGATTGACTGTGATTTGTCAAATTGTATCGAAGCACCTTGTGCCACAGCAAGGAAAGAAGAGCCAGATAGATAGGTGTGCACATATTTTGTTTGTGCCGTGCGGGTCAGGCAAAAGAATATAGATTGAAGATATATATACATACGTATATATATTCAAAGTGCTGCCTACAGGTAGGCAGTTGTAGTTGTTTCATTTCGTTGTCTTTTCTTCCTGGTACTGTGGCTCCTGTGGCGTTGCTTTCACGCATGGATTTCGTCCCCCTCACGAGCTTCGAGTTCTTGAACTCGCTTCTCCAGGGCGTCGAGGCGCAGGGCTGCCTCATGACAGTGCGGGTGGAGGCGTTCACGTGCCGCTCCACACGCAAGAAAAGGCAACTCGCCGCGTCCATGGCGCAGTACGCCAACGCCAACACGCCGCCTCTCGCGCCCACCTGCCAAGCAAACCTGCCGCCGCCGCTCATGCTGGGCGCTGGTCCGCCGGTCGCGTTTGAACACGTCGACCCAGAGGACATTGACGAGCGGCTGGNCCTGCCGCCGCCGCTCATGCTGGGCGCTGGTCCGCCGGTCGCGTTTGAACACGTCGACCCAGAGGACATTGACGAGCGGCTGGTGTACCTCGTGGCCGCGCTGAACAGTATCTACGGCGACGACGGCTACGACTTCTCTGTCCTCACCGAGGAGGACTTCGTGGTCTGCGACGAGGCGCAGGTGCGGGCGGAGGTGGACGTGACGCTGCAGTCCATGTCCGATGCGTGCAGGCCGGCGGTGGGGCAATTTTGGACGCTCGTTGGCGAGCAGGTGGGTGACGCGAGCCAGGGCTGCGAGTACTTCCGCTTCGTGTGCCCCAGCTGCGACCCCATGGCGTCGCGTGCGCTCTTCTCGCAGCATTACTTCCTCTACAACAAACGCACACGGCTGCTTGTGTCGCTGCTGCTGTTCGCGGAGGGCAACGCCTACCGTGGCGACGATGGCTGCATCGCCGGCAACGGGTTCTACGTGGAGAGCGAGGACGCCGCGGCGGATAGCAGCATCAGTAGCAGTAGGGTGCGGCGTGGCGGCCAGGAGCCATTGTCGCTGGAGGACGAGGTGGGCGGCAAGAACCGCCACTTCTACTACGGCTCCTGAGTGCGGTGCAGCAGCGGCAGCGACCCACTCAGGGGAGAAGGTGAGAGCGATCAAGGCGCGACAGGGTGTGGAGAAATCGAATCTGGCGCATGGGGTGCGTCACGGCCGGGGGAGGAAGTCGGGGAGTCGATGAAAAACAAAAAAAAAAAAGAATACCGCTGCGTCAGCGGTTCTTTTCGCACTTTCAGCTTTACGTTTTCTTTATGTGTCTACTCAATTTTGTCATCATGTTTTTCTCTGGCACCTTCGTTTCGTTTGATTGTTGGCGAGCGGCTGGAGACGTTGGGCGGGGTGGCCGTCACTGGGCGTGTGTCTGCGCGCCTGTGTGTGTGTGTGTGTGTGTGTGTGCCCGCCGCGGCCCGCCCCCATCACCCCCGCAGCGGCGGCGGTGGTGCCTCCTTTGGCGTTGCCCCCACGACCGTGATGTGGCGCCGCATCACCTCGGTGTGGTCCATGTCTCTTCTTCAACGCCTCATTCTCTCTCTCTCTCTCTCCCTCCTTCGTTCCCCTGACGGGCTGCCAGCGCTATTTTACCCAGAGCACTTGTTCATTTCATCTTGCCTGAACGGCTGCTGCTGCGGTGCGGGCGGAAGGTGCACACAACTCCCGCACACGATGGTGAACACCGAGATCACACGTCTTCGCGCGTTGGCCGACGACGCCACGCGTGACTACGCGGCGAAACGCGACGCGGCGGCCAAGGCAGTTACAGAGGCAGAGCGCATGCAGCTGAACATCGCGGCCGACGGAAATCGCACCGAAGCGAAGTGGGCGGTCGCCGTTCAGGCCCGCAAGGACGCCGCCGCCGCCGCCGTCGCCGCGCAGGAGCAGACGTCAATGTGGGCTGACGTGGCGAAGTCAACAGCAGCAACGCTGGCCTCTGAGGTCCGGCACGCAGCCAATGCCGAGAGCGCGACGCCGAGTGGGCTGCAGCTCAAGGAAGCCGCGAGCAACAGCATGACGGCGGAGGCGAAAAGGGCGTCCGCGGCCCTCGTGATGGCAATGATCGATGTAGCAAAAGAGAAGCAGGAGGAGGTCGCGCTGCTGCAGCGAGTGACGGCCGACGCCGTGGAGGAGAGTAAGACGGCGAAGCATGACGAAATCGAGGCGTACATCAAGCGGTTGGAAAACGATCTCTCCTCGAAGTCCACAGAGGCGCAAAGCCTTCGCGAGAAGGCATCGGAGGCGCAGAGGTCAGCAACTCAGGCCTTGCGACAGGCTAAGGAAACTGTGCTACTCACAAACAGCTCTGAGCTGAACAACGGTGTCGACCAGGTGCTGGGCGCGAGGAAGAACGAAGCTGAGGGACGGGGGTGCTGTGTTGCCCTGTAGGCGTGGGCTCGCCAGCAGCAATCCGCATGATGGCGGACATGACTCCCCGAACAGCAGCTCCCGGACTGCCTCTTCATCTGGCCAATCCTACACCCGCGAATATATAGTATTAATTCAGTCTGCACTGGCTTCTTTGTTTTTTGTTTTTTCCATTTGTTCTACTATGATGGCGGGGCGGGGTGAGCTTTACCTCGCGCTTGCATTTAACCCATACATACCCAGGCATGTAACACGCATGTATATATATATATGCACATGCGTAACTTGGAAAGAATTGACTTGCGTCGGTGGATGTGGCTCTGTGGGTCTTCAGAACTTTTTGCTGAGGTGCGAGCCAAACAGCTCGCTGTTGCGCCACGGGCGGCCCTTCTTGTGTTGACTTCAGTTGTGGGTGTGTGTTTTTTTTCTTCTTTCTGTGCGTGGCCCCAGCGGCGAAGAAAGCAGATATAAAAATATCTATATATATATATATATACCAGAAAATGGAAGAGGTAATTGAAATCACGCAGGTGCAGGTGGGGCACATTGTCGGCAAGGGCGGGGCAACGATCAAGGAGCTTCAGAGCACGACGGGGGCTAAGGTGGAGATCATCGACGGCCCCAAGGTGCGCATCACCGGCGAGAGTGGGCAGGTGGGGGCCGCAGCGGAGCAGGTGCGCGCGATTGTCGCCAGACAGGAGAACCCCGACTACGAAGGCCCCGTTGGAGCGAGGCTGCGCAAGGAGGCGAATGCGCTTGGCGACAAGCGGTCCAAACTCTTTGACGAAGCCACAGCGAAGCGCAACGCCGGCGACCATGAGGCCGCGAACGCGCTGGCACAGGAGGCAAAGGATGCCGGAACGAAGATGGAGGAGAAGCACCGCGAGGCAGCCGCTGCGATTGCGCGATACAACAACGAAGAGAAGGGTAAAGGCGACGAATACTTCGACATGCACGGCCTGCACAAGGAGGAGGCCATGACGGAGCTGCAGTCGCGCCTCGAGCGGTTGCGGGCGCGGCCCGC